AAATTCAATGACTGGTGTCCTTATATGAGAAAGGGGAGAGAGGTTTGAGACACACACACACACACACACACACACACACACACACACGGAAGGTGGCCATAGGAAGACAGATGTCCGGGAGCCATCATGGAAAGGATTGTCTCTCAGAGCCTCTAAAAGGAATCAACCCCACCAATGCCTTGTTTGGGGACTTCTGGCCTCCAGAACTGTGAGAAAATGGCTATATTTTTTTTAATATTCACAAAAATTTTAACGTGTATTTATTTTTGAGAGAGAGAGCATGAGCGTGAGTGGGGGAGGAGCAGAGAAAAAAGGGAGACGGAGAATCCAAAGCAGGCTCCTTGCTTTCAGGGCAAAGCCCGACATGGGGCTCAAACCCACGAACCATGAGATCATGACCTGAGCTGAATGCTGCTCAACCAACTGAGACCCCCAGGCTTCCCTTTCCAAACTAAAAAAAAATGTTTATTTATTCGGGGCGCCTGGGGGGCTCAGTTGGTTAAGCATCTGACCTCAGCTCAGGTCATTGTCTCACGGTTCGTGGGTTCGAGCCCTGCGTGGGGCTCTGCGCTGACAACGTGGAGACTGCTTTGGATTTTCTGTCTCTCCCTCTCTCTCTGCCCTTCCATGACCTGTACTTTCTTCCCCCACCCCCTCAAAATAAATAAATAAATAAACTTAAAAAAAATAAAAAAATAAACTTAAAAAAAGTTTATTTTGAGACAGAGTGAGAGCAAGCGAGGGTGGGGCAGAGAGAGAGAGAGCGAGAGAGAGAGAGAGAGAGAGGGAGGGAGAGAGAGAATCAATCCCAAGTAGGCTCCATGCTGTCAGTACAAGAGCCCAACGTGGGGCTCGATCTCACAGACCATGAGATCGTGACCTGAGCCAAAGGGAGATGTTTAACTGACTGAGGCACCCAGGCGCCCCATAATTGCTATTGTTTTAAGCCATCCAGTTTGAGATATGTTGTTCGAACAGTCCTGGGAAACCCATACGCTCCATAGGCTCCATCTTTCCCAAGCCCCATCTATCAGACTCTTCATGAGTCTTGCTCCTAGAACCTTCTACAGTACCAGAGCTTTTGTCCAGCCTGTGGCAGCCAGCCAGCAAAATGGCCCCCGGAGCCCTTACCTCCTTGCATTCATGCCCTTATGCTGTCCCCTCCCGCATCCACTAGGGCTGACTTATGTGACAATAAAATACTGTGACGGCGTGCGATTCCCAAGACTAGGTTATGAAACTGGAGACCAAGCTTTTGCCTGAGTCTCTGGAATCGGTCTCTTGGGGAGGAAGCCAGCTGCCATGCTTCCCGGACGCACAAGCAGCACCATGAAGAAGTCCATACGGTGAGGAATTGAGGGCTTTCGCCAACAGCAGGCCACAACTTGCTAACCAAGTGAGTGAGCCACTTTGGAAGACGATTGTCCCACACGGGTCAAGACTTAAGATGACTGAAGCCCCAGCCAACATCTTGATGGCAACCCCATGGGAGATCCCAAGGCCGAATCGCTTAATGAAATCATTCCTGAGATTCTGACTCACAGAAGCTTTGGGGTTCTTCATGATCACATGGCATGCTCCTTATATGACTTTCTATGTCCAAATTTCCCCTTCTCCTGTTTTTTTTTAATAAAAATGTTTTAACGTTTTATTTATTCTTGAGAGACAGAGAGAGAGAGAGACAGACCATGAGCGAGGGAGGGGCAGAGCGAGAAAAGGACACAGAACCCGAAGCAGGCTCCGGGTTCTGAGCTGTCAGCACAGAGCCCAACCAAGGGCTCGAACTCACAAGCCATGAGATCATGACCTGAGCCGAAGTCGGACACTTAACTGACTGAGCCACCCAGGTGCTCCTCCCCTTCTTATAAGGACATCAGTCCTGTTGGAGGAGTCCTGTTGGACCCTAATGACCTCACTTTAATTTTATTGTGTCTGTAAAGACCCTATCTCCAAATGAGGTTGCATTCTGAGGTACTAGGGGTTAGGACCCGAACACAGGAATTTGGGGGGAAGGCACAATTCAGCCTCTAACACCTGACCCTGTCTTTGGGCTCAAGGTCTTTCTGCCCATAATTCACTCTGTTTCCTGGCCTCTTTCCTTCTCTTTGCCTCCCCCCCACCCATTTTGTGCTCACGGCAGACATTACTAATCCCTCTTGGCATCCTTTCTGCCGAAGCAAAGTGCAGACTCAGAATCCCCTCATCGGCAATCTCCACGCAGTCTGCCCATCTATACAGACTTCGTGGAGGAGGAGACAATGGCCAATAAACACTTGTTGAATCAATGGCTCCATACATCTAACCTACAACAAACAGTTCATGATCCACCACCTGTCTGGCTGTTCCAGGTTATCGGTCCCTGCAGACATTGGGCCCCGTGAGCCTGCTTTCCATCAGGAGCTGCAGCCTTCTTTGGTGGTCTCATCTTGAAAGGTGGGCACCTGGGGGCCATGACTTCAGGTCCAAAGTCCATGTCTGCCAAGAAGGAGACTCCCCCCACCTCCTACCCCTTCTTCTTTCTTTTGTTTGGAGTTCAGCCCAATGAGTATTTCTTTTCTTTTTTAATGTTTATCCATTTTTGAGAGAGAGAGAGAGAGAGAGAGAGAGAGACAGAGACAGAGACAGAGACAGAGACAGGTCAGGGGATGGGCCGAGAGAGGGGGTAGGGGCAGAAAGAGAGAGAAGGGGACAGAGGATCCGAACTGAGCTCTCTGCTGACAGCAGAGAGCCCGATGTGGGGCTTGAACTCACGAACCCTGAGATCATGACCTGAGCTGAACTGGGACACTCAACTGACGGAGCCACCCAGGCGCCCCAGGTAATGAGTATTTCTAAAGGCTGTAATAGAGAGGGTGCTGTATCAGGAGGGGTGGGGGGTGGAGAGTTCCTCTCCATTCAACAGCCATGCCTCCTTCTTCCTTGCTAACAGAGCCCCACCTCTGTTCAGTTGATGGGTGGAGACCCCTGGATGTCATGTCAGGTGTGTTGGGGCACAACCATGATGGCTCTGATCCAAGTATGGGAATCTTTTCCCCAAGGATTGGTTTAAGGAGCACGGGCCTGCTCAGGAATCCCTGGAAAACGTTTTTCTCCCTGATAAAGAAAGATGCCAAGGAGAAAACCCTGGCTCTGTGACCCTCCCCTCCCCACTCTGGAAATTGTCCTCCAAGGATGGGATGCTCGGAGTAAGTGTAGCCACTTAGTGATCATGAGGGGAAACCTTTTATTATTTTTTTTAAGTTCATTTATTTATTTATTTAGAGAGCAGGGGAGGGGCAGAGAGAGAGAGAGAGAGAGAGAGAGAGAGGGAGAGAGAATTCCAAGCAGGTTTCGTGCTGTCAGCTCAGAGCCTGAGCGGGGGCTCGATCCCATGAACTATGAGATCACGACCTGGGCTGAAATCAAGAGCCGGACGCTTGACTAGCCTGGCCACCCGGACACCCCCATGGGGGGGGGAACCCTTCTGATGCATGCAAGAGACAGAGCTGAGAGATGAGAGGCACCCGGGGTTGTGGCAACCCCTGAGCCCCGGCAGTGGTGACCACTGACCTCCACACCACCATCAAAAGGCTATTATTCCTCCTTATCAGGGGGAGCAGGCAAAGGCACCTTCACTGAAAGGATGTGGACACAGGGATGTGAAAACAGGCCTCTGGCATCAGCCGGCTTGAGGTCGGTCCCAGCTCTGCCACTTTCAAGCTGGTCATCTCGCGAAGCCTCAGGTCCTCACCCGTGAAATGAAGATCGTTAGGATACGTACCTCATAGGGTTACTGGGGTGTGTGGGGGGGTGTTAGGTGAGGCATTTTGCACACTGTGGGCTGGTACCCGCGAGCATTCATTTGTTTATTCATTTGCTAACATATTCAAGCCTGGTTGATTTCAGTTTTCTGTCACTTGCAACCACAGCCTCGGAAACCATACATCTCTCCACACAACCCCACTTGAACCCGATAACAATAGTTATCAAGCATCTACTAGGTGTTTGTATTGATCTAGGATCTGGGGACGCAGCTGGAAACAAATAACGGGCACTCAAATAAGTTGCTGGTATGTTATCATAAGAAGTTGGCTCTTCCTGGGCCACCTGGGGGGCTCAGGAGGTTAAGCGTGGGACTCCTCATTTCAGCTCAAGTCATGATCTCACGACTCAGGAGTTCGAGCCCCGCATCGGGCTCTGTGCTGATAGCACAGAGCTTGCTTGGGATTCTCTCTCTCTCTCTCTCTGTCCCTATTCCCCTCTGGCTTTCCCTCTCTCTTCCTCAAAATAAATAAGTAAATAAATAAATAAACAAACTTAAAAAACAGACCTTGGCCCTTCCTATCGGTTTGTTAAGTCTTTGCCTACAAGGAGCTCCCTACAGAAGAGTAAAATCAGGGGAGATTTGGCAGAAGCGATTTCCCAGGATCTGGCGGCGTAGGTACCTGTGGAGTAAGATGGGGAGGGGGCAGGTGTCTTGGCCCAGGTGATAGCTGAGCGTCGCTTGGCTCAAATGAGAATTGGTCCACCAAGAAAAGGAGCAGCAATCCAGGTACGAGGAATCACACATATAAAGACTCCAAAGGAATCGCGGGTTGTTGAGGAGAACGTGAGGAAAGCTCGGGTTCGAGTGGGGTTGTGTGGAGAGATGTATGGTTTCCGAGGCTGTGGTTGCAAGTGACAGAAAACTGAAATCAACCAGGCTCGAACAACCAAGGGAATGTCTTGGCTCATATGACAAAAAGTTCAGAGGTTCAGTGGCTTCAGCTGAGTCGGTCCAGCGGCTCAAAGGTGTCACTGAGAGGGGCGCCTGGGTGGCTCAGTCGGTTAAGCGTCCGACTCTTGGTTTCGGCTCAGCTCGTGATCTCCAGTTTCTCGAGTGCAGAGCCTGCTTGGGATTCTCTCTCTCTCTCTCTCTCTCTCTCTCTCTCTCTGCCCATCCCTCACTGGAGCTGTATAAATGAATAAACTTCAAAAAAATGTTTTGAAAAAAAAAAGGACGTCACTGAGAAACGAGCTTTTTTCCCATCTCTTTGTGGTGCCCTCCACAGTGTTGGCTTTCCTTGGGGATCAAAGAGGCGGCCAACGGCCAACACTCCTGGCTCAGCTTCTTGGCCTTGGTCCCATATTTCTAACGTGCTGATTGCTCTGCTAGTCCCCTTTCTCAATCAGCCATGGTATTCAGGGTCTTGGGAAAGGCTGACATTGGGGATCGACCCCACAGCACCACGTGGACCCTTAAAAAAGAAAGGCAAAAGGGGCATGGGTGTCAGGAGGCCAGATTTTGAAGCAGAAACGTCATGCTCAGGAGCTTGAACTTAAGCCAAGGGTAACGGGAAGCAGAGACTGAGTTGATCGGACTGGATTTGAGAAAGATCACCTTGGCTGATGCATGAAGCATACAGGGGAGCAGGAGAGGAGGCTGGGAGGCCAGTTTGGAGGCTGGTTCAGTGATGGGGAGGCTGGCGTGGCCATGACGAAGGGCCATGAGGGACAGAAACTGGAGGCTAATGGATCTGGGAGTGAAGCAGAGAGGAGTTAGGGGCAACTCCCCTGTTCTCCTCCGGGTCCCCGTGTGGGAAGGGCAAGCAGGAACAGGGCAGGCAATGCAAATGTGTGGTCAGGAGGCTGAGATCTGTTTTGGGCGGGCTGAACGTGAGGTACCTAGAAGATATCTGAAGGCAGATGTCCAGAAGCCAGTTGGTGGGTTGGATATGGGGGTCCAGGGCCTGGGACGGGGGTAGATGGAGGTTGGAGAGTCCATAGCCCAGGAGTTAAGGATGTGGCCTGGGCCTGAAGCATCAGCAGGAGGCAAGCAGGAAGGGAGTCTGTGGGGAGCTCTCGTCCAGGAGGAGGATGTGCCCTCTCTGCCCAGTCCTGTGCAGAGGTGGCTGGAGACCAGGCCTGCCAAAGGTCCTTTGGGTTTCGAGATAAAAGCCGCTGGTGACCTCGGCAAGAACAGTCTGTGCCAGAATGGCAGAGGGTGAAACAGCACTGCGGTGGGTTGGGGAGTGAGTGGGAGGTGAAGACAAGGAGAAAGGGTGTGAACAACTCTTTTAAGACGCCCAGCTTTAAAAGAGAGAGAGAGAGAGAGAGAGAGAGAGAAAAGGCAGCAGTAGCTTAGCTGAAATGGTAGCTGAAGGTGAATGTGTGTGTGTGTGTTGGTGTCTGGGTGTGTGTGGGCGGGGTAGGAATGAGGGACTTAAGCAGGCTGATGTTCTGAGGGATAAGACGGTGATGAGGGAGGAGAGGTACATGAGGACCAAGGACTCAGGAGTGTGTGCGTGTGCATTAGTGGAGGGGGAGATGTGGGAGCCTGGGAGTGAGCTGGCCTTGAGGAGGGAAGGTGCAGGTACAATCGGAAGGGAGAGGCAAGGAACTGCATCTCTGGGCGTGAGGGCGGGCCTTGGCCGGGGTTCCTCCCAGATGGCCTCAATTCTTCTGGAAGTGGGAGGCAAGGTCAGGTGCTAAGGCAAGGTCTGCTGCAAGAGCAGGTGGGGTGGTGAGGGATGAGCGTGAGGGGGCAGGAAGGTGCTGGGCGGCTAGGCCAGGAGCCGTGGATGTGCCCTGTCTGGGCAGAGTTGCTTACAGGAGCCAGCTGTCTCCAGGGAGGGGCTGGGCATGGGGCATGCAAATAGGCGGGCTGGGCCAGTGTTTGCAGGGTGGTTGGGGCACCTGGGGCACCAGGTACGGCTCAGCAGATGGTGAGCAGACCTGCTTGGCTGGATCAGAAACAGGCGAGAAGGCCCTCGAGTCCTGGGCTGGGAGAGAAGTTCCAACTTTGCCTGGAAGGCAACTGGGAACCATGGAAGGTTATTGAGCAGGAGTGGGCCATGATCCAAGCAGTATTTAAGATTCTGTATCCAGAGGGACACCTGGCTGGCTCAGTGGGAAGAGCATGCGAGTCTTGACCTTGGAGTCGTGGGTTCCAGTCCCACACTGGGTGTAGAGATTACTTAAAAAAAAAAAAAAAAAAA